ACATTTATGCAGTCAGAATCCATACCAAACGAGAAACGAACTGGGCGGAAGTCCGCCCCCCCCTCAATGACGTACATGCATTTTAGACTCTGCACGTCTCCACAAACGACCATCACTTGGCGGACCTGTGTCATTCGTGCCGATGACATTCCCGATTGTTTACATCCCGTTTGGAACCACAATCAATCTTTGGTGATGGTCGTCTCCATGTCGGAAAGCAACTCCCGCGTTGTCTGATTGGGTCTTCTACTTCATACATTCCCACGATCCTGAAGCCATGGTCAGCCTTCAATCTTTCATCCTATTCTCCAACGTACACCCTTCCAATGCACGCTGACCTATTCACCCACAACCTACGTAGCCCGAAACCTTGTACAGCGACGGTATCGATTGTCATGATGAAGGGTGGCCTTCAGCTCAGGGTAAGGATCATCCGGTTGTCACTGAACGTTTCAGTCATCGAGCGAATTGCATCATCCTCTCGAAGGAAGCCTCCACAGAGAGAGGTCCACGGCCATGCCCAAGGAACGGACCGTGGGCGCGTCCATGTACCTTATTCACAAGCGTTTCCGCGGATGAATGCGGCCGGTGGAACAGGAAGGACTGTTTAGTCATCCAGATGGCGGTGGTGACTGCTCCGAAAAACAAATCCTACATCCTGCATCATTGCTATGCTTGCTGACAGATCCGAATCTGTACACAACACCAGCGTCTTTGCCGAATAGTTTACTCCATGGTTGCGACAGTGTGGCCACTGATGGTTGCGCAGCAGTATATCCCCCTCTTCATGCGGGTGATCACCAACCATGTCAGTCAGTCAGTTGGCGTCTCGCACGATGGGTGTGCTATACATACAGAAGTCAAACTACATACTTCCACCTTCCACCCGCCGGGAAGCTGAAAGCTCAAGTGCTTCCGCTCGCTGGTGCACAAAACCACCGACAACGCGTGCAGGCGTTGATTAAAACTAAACTGTCCCCCATATCTACCTACCCACCAACCCAAAGTGGATGTGAACGCTGTGCGCGCCTCGTGCCAACTGGTTGGAGGACGGGCTCATCAGGGAGAGGAATCTCTCAGGCGATTCCCCGACTCAAAAACAGCAGTGGCGATCGGCACCAAGACTACGAAGCTACGAGCGCTGGGAATAGCGGGAGGTCGGTCTAACGTGTAGTGCTGCTATCACGACCGAGCTTGTCTTTGTATTCTCCCGGCAGTCTGTAAGTGGATGAACAGACACTCTCGCACTACAAGCGAAACGAGGCGAACAAACCGTATTGACTACAACACATACTGCAGTCCACACGTGGATTTTCCCACCTGGAGATTGCTCTAGCATGCACCACCAGGTCTGCTTCTCGATAAGCGTCGCACAAGGTACGATCCGGTAAGCAGCTGCAAGCTTCGGCCCCACGCAGCAAGCCGTCGAATCCGCCCGAGACAAGTGCGGCGAAAGCCGCCGCAAGGCTTGAGCACTTTCCAGGCTTCATGATCATCTACTCCCCTCCCTGTCTACAGGTATTTATAGGTGGTCTTTGTTATCGTTGGAACCGGTGTGCGTCCTTCCTATCTTTTTGTCTTTGGGACCGGTGTGCGCTTCGTCTTCTTCCTGAAGCACAACAAATAGAGGGTGTTTGCATCCGCCCCCCTCGGGGGCAAGTGCTCGGGGTCTTCCACCGCATCCTCTTCATGTGTCGGTTGGATTGAAACGGCCAACCAACGTGTTTGCGCCCATCATGGACGAGAGACCGTTGAGTGCCACCCGCCTTCAGGACAGGTGTGCCGTTGCCACCCCCAAGGGGCGGACACACAGCCCGAACACACACAAAGCATCGAGGGAACATAAACATACCCTTCAACAAGCGTTGGAGGCGCCTGGCCTTGTAGATGTTAATTAATGCCAGGCGGAGCTGGGAGCTGGGAACGAAAAATAGTTTTTTCGTATCTTTCGATCCCAACGTCCAGATGTCCAGCCGCTGCTAGTGATGTCACCTCGAAAGACCGTCATGTCCTGGCCAATCCCGCGCCGCGTACAACTGGTTGCCGCTTTTCGGACTCGTTTTCGGAAAAGAGGCGAAAAACCTACGGCCTCCTGTCGCTTGCGTTGGTGCGTTGGTGCGGACTACTGGCTGTTGTTGGTTGTTGGACCCCGGTGAATGGCGAGCGGACCGTACCACGACAACATCCGTGCGCAGGCTACAGGCTGAAGTGATTACCTCTCTCTCGGTCTCGCTTGCTGGGCAGCAAGGGGTTGCTGCTTGGAGGTCGCGGATTGCAAGGGCTTTTGCACAGAGCAGGGGACGCAGATGGTGTTGTTCCGAAATACCAACGTTTTCGGAGCAGCAGCAGCAGCAGCAGCAGCAGCAGCAGCAGCAGCGTTCAGCTCGGTGGCCTTGCTGCTCCTGGCCCCGGCGGCGCAAGCTTGCAGATGCGATTTCAGGTCCCTGTGCGAAAATATCGGCTTTGCGAGTGTCGTGCTACGTGGGCATGTTGTGCGAAGGTGAGACTATACCTCTGTAGGGCAAAGGGTCCGACGCGACTCTTTACTGGTGTGATGAATTATTTTCACAGCAAGATGTGGGTTTCTTGGCGGCCGGTGTGATGATTATCATTGCCTGTTCGCCCATGCCAACCTAACACCCTCATTCTACTAGTCTAGAGGGCTTTTGCCGACGTGAGGCATAGCAGTAGATGGCCATCGCTGACACACCAGAGAGAGTGACACCAGATTGGTCAAGTTTGACGCGTTGAAAGAGAGGTTTGAGAGTGGGCTTACGGGAACGAACGCGGATGAGCAAATAAATCAAATCAGCAGTGAACGCTCTTGTACTACAACTGTGCAGTCCCAAAACGTCCGTCCGTCGTACGTTATCAACGGTCCCGTTACCCCGATGGTCGAAACACCGCAGGGGAGCTACATACACTGAGAGGTTACACTGGAGGCAACCCGTACAAAGCCGTACAAGCTACGCTTTCATCATTCATTATTATGTTTATCTTCGGATTCTGTCCAACGCGAGTGTAGTATAGTCTATATTAGTTAAAGTCGATACGTTGTTGTTGCATACATACCTGTAGTCTACACCTGGAAGTTATAGGTTCTTCAGCAGTTTAGATAATACTGCAAAGAAAGGCATTTTTTCCGTCACAAATACTTCCTTTTCGAGAACCACTCTCAGACTCTCAGGGATCACCAATCAATACGCACCCGCGCCGCCTTGCAGTCGAACCGCCCCCGACCATGAGAGCCTCGATCACGTCGTCCCCGCCGGTCCTTGCTTCTTCTCATATTGTAGTACTGTAGTCTAGAGAGACGTCTTGTACTTACAGTAGGATCTCCCCTTCCGGCCCCTTCAAAGAAAGGCAAAAGCAGCAAGTTTCTGGGACGCACAACGATGCATTATACGGGAACTCTCGTATAAAGTATAAAGTACTTTTTTCATTTACTCCGTACGTACGCATAGTACTTGCTGGTGCGGACGTCCTTTGCGTTGGTTAGCCTGTCAGCGCTGCGCTTAGCGAGGAACACAAACTCGCACCAAGTCGTCAGTGGTTACTGCCTGACGCAGGTATTTTGAGTACGAGGCCGGTAGTGTACCAGGTCTACCTTGTCCCGTGGGCGTTCCAAAAGCACCGAAAGGTGACGAGTGCCGAACGCGGGTGGGTGTACAAGGTGTGGGGTACAGCGCCAGAGATACACACGTACCGTTATTCGGAGTCTACACTCTATACACCCATGCGCCTCGGGACGTGTACAATACTGACACGTTGGCGTGGAGTTCGGCTCCATTGAGGAAGGAGAAATAACAACCAGCAGCGGACGGTTATTTTGTGAGAAGGTCGGGCCGGCGAAACCCCTATCGAACGAGGGCCAATTCTCGCGTTTGTCTTGGCGCCCCGATGTGTTCCAGCAGTACGATAACCTTTGATGACTCTTATGCATTATGTGGCGGTAAGATTAAACCAGACCAGGCACGAGGAGAACGAAGCACCCGCGGTCCTGCTACGAAGCACTTGTAGATATACGGCCTGGCGGTTCGGCGATGCTTGGCAATGCCGCAAGCGTACTGCGTCGTGCAGCGATGGCGCCGTGCCTTTCCTGTTGCTGCTATCTACGCTGTTGTTGCCGCGCCTACTGATCGCATGTTTTGCCCTACCTGGAACCACCTACAACTTGGTTGGTGTTTCATTTATTGCTTGGCGATTGGCAGCAGGTTTCAGAGTTTTTCTGCTGGCACCAAGTGCCGCAATGCAACAGCCATGCACGGCCAAAGAGAGACCTGAATTGAATTTCAATATTGCTTGGGGGTCAAGCTGGCCGAGAAGAGTTGCAAGAATCGTTGTGACAAACAGAAAACGAGGCTTAAACAAACTCAAAATTAGCCTAGTTTCCTACCGGTTTCCCTCCACTCGCAGAAAAACTTCAGCACGTCCCTTTCGACTACTGCTGTGGTTATATCTCGAACGAGTGGTCTTTCTGTGAGGTTGTATACTTTCTAAAGAAAAAGAAACGAGAAGAGCTTTGCAACACTCTGTAGCGAAGAAACAATTCCGAACAAGAACAACTCCATACGTATGTACAGAAACCTGAGTCGGTTGGCTTGCCAGAGAGGGCCTGCAACAAAAGCAAGGCCCGTCGCTCAACTTGGGAACTGAGTCAAACATATTCTCCAAGAGTACTCTACGATTGACAGAGCTAAAATCTATGTCGAGCATGATCATGTTTTCTCCCGCACCCATATTCCGCGGAATCATGGAACACGCGTTGTGTGCATTTTGGGTTTTCCACCGACCACCGTCAGCCCACTACAATACTGTCCGTGTGCCAAACCGTTGCTATTCTAATGTTCCATGCACAACCCTCGACATTCGTTCAAAATCCTACGTAGGTGTTAGCATGGACTAGGGGCGCCATGTGTTGCTAATATAAGCCTTTGCAGATAAGACCCCAGACTCCCGTGGTACTTTGCTCGAGTCGCGTGCCCGACACCTGCTGTAGCATGGAGGCTTTCGCTGCCATGGCCGAACGGGTTCGATCCGAACTCTGCTGGTTTTCAGTAGGACGGTGAGGTAGACAAAACCAAACAAGTAAAGGTCGCGCAAGGTGATAATTTCCTGCCCCCCCCAGCAACGGACGCCAACAAAACGACGCCACGCTGAACGTCGCCGAGGGGACTGACTCACACTTATGTTACATAGACTTGACCCTAATGCCCCCATGTCCCAATAAAGCCTATCGGGTGGAAACCTCGAAGGGCGTCCAAATACCCCTTTCGGCTGGAAACCCCTGACCTTTTTTTTTTTTTTTCTTAATATGACACAACGAATCTTTTTTGCTATGTTTTCGCATTGTTGGATTTCTCCGCCGGCGAATCGCCGCCGCTTCCAGCAATAATTTGCGACGTGGTTTCAGAAGGGCCGCCTCAAGTGCGGCGCGGCCTGTTTGCGCAACATCTTGAGCATCTATCTCCACGTGTGACGCCCTAACCCAGGGAGGGTCTAATATTGTGACTCACGGCATGCGTTTGCGTGACTACTCCCCCTCCCCCATCTCACCCAGAGAGGCCCCGAAAGTCACAGAGTTTTCACAGTGAAGAGAACATGTGACCAATCACAACTCAGCAACGCTTAAGCGCCGTATGGACATATGTATCTGACCAATCACAAATAGCAATTGAGCGGCGTAACACCTCTCCTTGGCTACAAACAGGACGGCGCTGGTGGATCGCCCGGATGTCGTGACGTACAATGTGAAGGTCGGCACGCTCTACAAGACGGAGGCCGGAGTGGACTACCCCGTGGAGATCGAGGTCACTACCAGCGCGAGCGCCGCCCATTGCGGCGTCTATCTTCAAGTCGGGGGGGAGTACCTCCTTGACCTCTATCGGTACGTTGTTTGTAGACAGAGCCTCGAAAAGATGGGGGCAAGTATGCATATGTATGTATGCGCCTCTTGATGATTATAGTTCACTTATATACGTCCTTGTCGCTCTTGAACGCACTACATGTGGCGTTGCGCTCCTGTGTGGTATGGTTATATTGGAGGTGCAGTGGAAGCGTGTTATGCTTGGTGCATCTCCCCACCGCTTTTTTTTTTTTGTCAGACGCACATTGGTCAAGGCGGTTTGTTTTCACTGAGGAGCTAGTTGACGCGGGTCGATAGATGCCTCTTGTGCCTGCCGAGGCCTGATGAACACGTGTACACACACCCTTCGCACAGCGGCGTGTAACCGCTCAGTGCTTCACGATAAGCACCAACCATCCTATTATATTATACTCATCCGACACCAATGTAATGGCCGACACACACAAAAAATATATATAGGTATAAGGGCGAGTTGCGGAGCGTGGGCGCTTGCGGGGCAACCCAAAGCTGGACGACCCTTCCCGCGGATAGGATCGCCACCCTGGGAGACATCAACAGTGCGTGCGACCCGTGTGCGGCCTGCGGGGAGTCGCAGGTGTGTCGTGTTGGCGGTGGCATGGGAACGGGCGCACTCATTTTTAGCTTGCCGTAGTTGTTGGGCCAATGACCACGCGTCCTCGCGAGGACGGAGCATTGTTCCCACACGACCGATCGCCGATGGCCGATCGTCCCTTCCTACTTTACCGAAGGTGGCCGGGGGGGGGGTGATGAACATTGAAATTCTTCAGGTCGTTTATGCCTTTGTAGCGTCGGTTGTCTTCATCGCCATCGTTGGGAGGACCAATGACATGACATGGGTATGAAAGAGGCGGGAAGGGCCTCGATGTGTCCGGTGGAACACGGGAGGAGCGGTGTGGTCAGCCCGTTGGCGCGACGTCGATGCCACAATAGGTAACGAACACACAGGCACACATTGCAGAACTCATGTTCGCGTTTCCTCGTTTTCCCGCTGTAAGGCTGACATTGTCAGCATGTCAACCGGTTCGCGAAATGTCGATGCCACAATAGTTACCGACCACACGGGGTCCCAGGTAATGGCATTTAGAATTGTTTTGTGTTTTCAACCGCACTGGCACTGACGTATTTTCATTGGTCACCCGGTTAGCGCGGTCGGTGCTAATAATAAAAAAAAAAACGCACACGCATACAGGATGCGTGTTGATGTTTCTTTTCGTCCCGATGTACGACTGATATCCTCTGCCCAACCTGTCAGCCCTTCCCGATGCTCACAATTCAAACACACAACGCGCATACGCCAGGACTGCCTCCTGTACACCGACGGCGACTCGACAACAACATCGTCTTCGGTGACGGGGGGGGGGGAGGAGTTCTACTGCGCCGACACGTGCGCCGCCGGGGTGTGCGGCGCCGAGGAGACGTGCTACCTTAACGAGTCCGACTGCACCGGAGGGCCTTGCCCCCCCGTAGCCGAGTGCGGCTCCCCGCCCGCATCCCCGATAGACAAGTGCGGTGGATCCTGCCTGGACTCAGAGGTGAACACGAAGAGAAGACAAAGAAGAGAAATGCTTTTTTGCCAATTTGTAATGGGCTGCCAAGACCTGCTGTATGAATGCCCCCCACAGGTGTCGTAGATCGAGGTAGGACTGACGTAAGGAAAAGGTCTCTTTGGTTGCTATGTTTTGGCGGTGCCTGTGTTCTTCCCGCCGCGCCCTTGAAACACCTCCCCTTCCCCCGACCGGAAACCCGCCTGAACACTTTTGACGCTAACAGGCCCTCCTCAGGCGTGGTTACATGTTGATCGTCGCATCCGGTAGGTACTTGCGGGAATGGTGTCGTCTCCCCCACCCCTTTCGTCATTTTTTCGAAACTTCCCCATTTGCTTAGCAATGGTGTCAATAGCCTTTACCGATCGTCGTCCTCTCAACTTTTGAGTGTGAAGCGGTCGTTGGGGTCACGGGCTGTCAGTTTTTCACCGGGAGACATGAAAAGTTGCGCCAAGCCGCGCTGGTTGTGGCGCAAACCCACCCCATGCGGCACGCACACGTTCGGACTCAATCATCCCAACACTTTAGTGTGCGCCACTACTGTTGTGCTGGATTTTGGCGCGTATTTTGTTGCTGTGTTTCGTCGAGGACAGCAGTGCTACTGCAATACGGCGGCTGTGACCTGTCTCCCCCCCCCCGAAAACGCCTCCGTGCTTTCAAAGCACGCCGCGTTTTGTGTCTCCCGGACACCCGATATCGACACCCAGTCGTACTCTCGACGACGGTTTTCGACACTATGAAATCCCGCCCCCAAGCCTCTAACGACCCCCCCCCCAAACCTCTCTCTCTCTCTCTCTCTCTCTCTCTCTCTCTGTGTCTCTCTCCCTAACTCTCTCACACACACCCTAACTTAGCCTCCCCCATGCCGCCCCCTCACGGGGCCCCTGTTAATCGCATTTAGAAGTGTTTTGTGTTTTCAACCGCACTGATACTGACGTCTTTTCATTGGCCAACCGGTTAGCGCGGTCGGTCGATGCTAGTAAAAAAAGCAAATCACACACACGCACTTGCTCGTGCTTTCACCATGACCCGCCGCTTTCCTTCCGTTACCTCTTCTTGTCTCCGCGCGGCCCCGCAGGAATGCCTTCCTTACACGGCCGGCGTCGACCAGTACTACTGTTCGGCCGTCTGCGACCCTTCCCCCTGCGAGGGAGAGGGCGAGGAGTGCAGCGTGCTGCCGGTGTACTGCGCGGCCAACTCCATCTGCAGGAGCGGCTTCGCGTGCACCCGAGCCGGCGTGGTGAAGAAGACTTTCCGGGCCGCGATCGGAGAGGGGGGCCTGTGCGAAGGACGGTGCAGCGAGTTCCAGGTGTGCGTGAGATAAGGGGGGGGAGAGAGAGAAAGAGAGAGGGGGGGAGGAGGGACAGAGGAGAAAGAGGGAGAACGAAAGATAGGGGGGGAGAGACAGAGAGAGAGACGAGAGAGAGAGAGAGAGAGAGAGAGAGAGAGAGAAGCCCCCGGTCCCTAGAAGCACGCAATCAATGCTTCTGGTGATGCGCTGCTAGAAGGTAGTGTTGCTGCTGTTCTTGCTGTCCCTGCCGTTGCACGTATTATAGTATCCGCCGTCGAGGCCCTGGTACCGGTGCCCTCTGCCTTCCTCCACCGGCACCGCAACAGCAGTTTCGAGCCCCGAGTTCGCTTGCTTCCGCCTACAAGTGCCGAGCTCTTTTTCTTTTCTTCGCATTCGAATGATTGTTGCCGCAAGATTCTGTGTTGTTGTTGTCTCTAGAAACCCGTTTGTTGTAGAGAGGCTTGGCATCACCGTCTGCGACTTGCGCCCCCCCCCCCCCCCCCTCCAATCCTCGATCGAAACCCGTGCAACTACTACTGCTGCTGCTGCTGCTGACGTTTGTTTCGTCCTGCGTGCGTGCGTGTGTGCGTGTCCTCAAGGAGTGCCTGTTTTACAGCGGCAACTTCGCGGAGGACCAGTACTACTGCTCGGCCGTCTGCGACCCTTCCCCCTGCGGGGACGGCGAGGAGTGCACGCTGGTTCCGGCGAGCTGCGCGCCGGGTTCGATCTGCGGGAAGAGGTCAATCTGCTCGCCCCTCCCAGCAGCGACGGAGGTCGTGGCGACGATCAAGCAAGAGGATCCGTGCGACGGGCGATGCGGGGACTTCGAGGTGGGCAGCGAGCGAAACCAAACGCGTGCGCAGGCGAAGCGCATCTGCCGCGACGCACACGGGGGTAAAACTGTCCCCCTCCCCCCGGGGGGGATTCGTTGAAAGAAGCATGAAACGGCGTCCCGGGACATTTCAATATGAACAAGACAAAAATATGTGAATGGGCCTACCGGCGTTGGCTTTGATGGGGGCGTTTTCTACGTGCTTGGCGATGCTGATGCGGCCCTCTGAACGTCGAAGGCGTTCGTGTTTCATGTTCACCTCGGCCGGGGTTGAGTTCGTTCGTGTTTCTTTTTGTTTTTTATGCTCGATTATGTTCCATCTTTCCGTAAGCGTCGTACCTCAGGACCGCCAGGGTCTAAGCACAGCAGTGCTTCTCGTCCCCCCCCCCGCCCCCCCTTAATTGCGGGGCCGTTCCCGAAAACTCGCCCCCCACATGTATTGGACGACAGACACCTCACAGCCCGTCTCTCCCTGCCTCTTGTTGCCGGGACCCCACCCCTCTTGCCTGTGCGTACCCGGCAGGAGTGTCTGTTCTACACCGGCGATCTCGCTGAGGACCAGCACTACTGCTCCGCCGTCTGCGAACCTTCGCCGTGCGAGGAGGGCGAGCAGTGCCACCTCATGCCCGAGAGCTGTGCGGCCGGGTCTATCTGCGGGAACGGGTTCCTTTGCGCCCCTGCCGCAAACGCAACCCTGCAGGAAGGAGATCCGTGCGCCCCCTGCGGAGAGTTCCAGGTGTGCGTGTGTGTGTGTGTGTGTATGCCTTGTTTATTATTGGTATCGACTGCGTAAACCGGCTGACCAATGAGACAGGCGTCACGGTTTGTGTGTGATTCTTTTATCGTCAGCATCGAGCGCGCTAAAAGCGGCCGGCCCATGAAGAGACGCCAGTCTCGTCGCGGGACAAGAAAACTTGAATACTTTATTTAATTCTTGGCGCCTCTCCTTGTTCTCTGACCGCTTCGACTTGGCTTTCATGACCAACAACGAAAAACAAAACAGGACTGTCGCGTCTACGCTAACGGCGCCTTCGCCGAGTACTACTGCGCCGACGTGTGCGACCCCAGCCCGTGCGGGGGCAGCAAGGACAAGTGCTCGCTGGTGGAGCAGGGAGACGACTGCGACGCGGCGACGTCTGCGTGCCCACCGTTGGCGACGTGCGCGTCCGCGACCGTGACGGTGGAGGAGGAGGAGGAGGAGGAGCGGGCGGACCCTGCGGAACAAACACCGAAGGTGATCTGGTTTTTTTTTTTGCGAATTTTTTCGTTTTTTTGTTTTTTGCCGTCGCTGTCGGCGCCTCTCCTGTCTTGTACGCTCTTTTGCTTTGCCTCGTTCGGCATTGTGTGTGTGTGTGCGGCGCATCTATGGCCTTGTGCCTGGAATCTCAAACTCGAGTATCACCCCCGTTCTCTTCGCCCCCATCCCCTTGTCGCACTCACACCCCCAACGAAAGGCGAACTCCAGACTAGGCTCATCATCGGCGAATTGATTTCCCGTCGGCGGCGGCGGCGGCGGCTTCGACTGCGGCGACCCATGCCGGCGATTAATAGGGGCTCGACCATAGCGTCCACTTGCTCTGCGGAACCACGCCAAGGCTTTTCGAACAGGGCAAAACGGTCGAGTTTTCGTCGCTCCCATGTACAACGGTTGTAGGATACACGACCTTGTGAATGATGGCCGGAGGGACAAGGGGGGGGGGGGGGGGGGGGGGGG